GGAGATCCAACCAGTCAGTTCTGAAGGAAATAAGTCCTGAATATTCATTGGAAGGACTGATGTTGAAGCTCAAACTTCAATACTTTGGCCACCTGATGCGAAGAGCTGACTCATTTGAAAAGACCCTGATGCTGGGAAAGATTGAGGGCAGGAGGAGAAAGGGATGACAGAGGATGAGATGGCTGGATGGCATCACCGACTCAATGGACATGAGTTTGGGTAGGCTCCGGGAGCTGGTGTTGGACAGGGAGGCCTGGTGCGCTGCAGCTCATGGGGTCACAAAGAGTCGGACACGACTGAGCGACTGAACTGAACTGTGTGTTCTTGTACCTCAGTTTACATATTTTCATTTCAAACACATTAGTTCCCAATTCCCTAGTTATATAGTTGTTGTGCAGTCACTAATTCACATCTGACCCTTTGTGATCTGATGGACTGCAGCCCGCCAGGATCCTCTCTTCATGGGATTGCCCAGGTAAGAATACTGGAGTAACTTGCCATTTCCTTCTCCAGTGGATCTTCCTGACCCTGGGATCGAACTTGTGTCTCCTGCATTGACAGGCGGATTCTTCATTACTGAGCCACCAGGGAAGCCCCAGCTATATATTAATAGTAATTCCCTTGAATATTTGGCAGTTTTTTTAAATCTCAATGATCCCCTGTATAATATCACTCAACTGAAATTTTAGTATATAATTAAATTGTGACTGAAGATAATGCTGTGTCCTAATACAGATTAATAGCATTGACTATTACAGACATTTTCAGATCTCTAACTATAGTCACAGGCTAACTCAGAAGTTTTACCAATTTTACTCATTATCCATTTCTAAGTTCATCAGTTCAAGTCTTCAGGAATTAGTTCTAACATGCTAATGCTTTAAAATTTAATACGGACTTCCAACACTGTGGAGACTGACAATGAATATGTCTAACATAACTGAAATACCTTACAAATTCTCCTTAACAAGGTCTGAGACTACTTCTCCCAACCATTAAATTAACTCAGGTTTGTCTACCTATTTTACCAAGAAGAGATAGTGTAGAGCTTCTGAAAATTTCCGGGCTTAGCCATTTTCAATTTCTATTTCTGTAAAGCAGGAACTCTTCACTTTCTGCCATTAGAGTGGTATCATCCACATATCTGAAGTTGTTGATGTTTGTCCCACCACTCTAATGGCAGAAAGTGAAGAGGAATTAAAAGAGCCTTTTGATGAGGGTAAAGGAGGAGAGTGAAAGAGCTGTTTAAAACTAAAATATTAAAAAGACTAAGATCATGGCATCTGGCCCCATTCAGTTCAGTCGCTCAGTCATGTCTGACTTTTTGTGACCCCGTGGACTGCAGCACCCCAGGCCTCCCTGTCCATCACCAGCTCCAGGAGTTTACTCAAACACATGTCCATTGAGTCAGTGCCTCATTACTTCATGGCAAATAGAGGGGGAAAAGGTGGAAGTAGTGACAGAGTTCCTCTTCTTGGGCTCTAAAATCACTGCAGATGGTGACTGAAGCCATGAAATCCAAAGACATTTGCTTCTTGGCAGGAAAGCTATGACAAACCTAGACAATGTGCTGAAAAGCAGAGACATTACTCTGCCGACAAAGGTTTGTATAGTCAAAGCTATGGTCCTCCCAGTGGTCATATATGGCTGTGAGATCTGGACCGTAAAAAAGACAGAGTGCGGAAGAATTGATGCCTTCAAACTATGGTGCTGGAGAAGACTCCTGAGAGTCCTGTGGACAGCAAGGAGATCCAACCAGTCAATCTTAAGGGAAATCAACCCTGAATACTTGTTGGAAGGACTGATGCTGAAGCTGAAGCTCCAACGCTTTGGCCACCTGATGCGAAGAGCTGACTCATTAGAAAAGACCCTGATGCTGGGAAAGACTGAAGGCAGGAGGAGTGGGGAGAGACAGAGAATAAGATGGCTGGATGGCATCACTGATGCAATGGACATGAACTTGGACAAACTTCAGGAGATGGTGAGGGACAATGAGGCCTGACGTGCTTTAGCACATGGGGTCACAAAGAATCAGACAGGACTGGGAAACTGAACGACGACAAAACAGAAACTCATTCTAAAGGTTTCAAACTCTTAGTGTCACAGAGTGATGAAAAAAGAATGTATTAGTTAGCAACTAGTTGGTAAAAGGGAGAGAGCTGACATTAGAAATTACATTTTAAGCTTCATCTAGTTCTAGAACCATTCATTAACAATTTTCTGTACAGCCGTTAGCAGACCCTCTGGTGATCAGGCCTCCGTTTTTTCCTGTTAAGGTTTATTCTAGCACTGTGGATAACTAAAACTGGTATTTCCAATGTAGGAAAAGGAAAATACTAAAATAACTACTAAGGAAATTTTCAAGCTTATTTAAAAACCCAAACTTCAGAAGCAAAAATGAAAGAAAAAGAAGAGCTAATACAAGTATCATTGGTGCTTCTGCCATGAAGGAAAATGAAGTTAAAATAATAGAATAACTATCTGAAGTAAATTTGATACTGCAAACCAAAATGGTTCAGCTTGGCCAGGAAAATCTGATACATAATTTGATACAGTACATAATCCTAAAACAGAAAGCAAGAAGTGAAAAAAAAAAAAAGGCAGCTTAGAGACTGGCAATGGTGAATTAGTTTGGCCTCAGACTTTTCCACTCTAACACTCAAAGCCAGAAAGCTGGGACAAATAACTATATAGTTGTGAGAAGAAAAAATATAAACTAAGAATTTTATACCCAATTTGTTTGCAGACAATAGGCATTCTTATGTGCCCAAGGTCTCAGGAAACACAGCAATCAAGAACCATTGAAAAAAAATTGCTCTGCAATCTAGTCAACTAAGAAATGAATCAAAATAGTCAAGATTAAAGGAGAGTAAAAAGAATTGATGGTAAAGACTGAATCAACTTAAATAAAGAATGAAGAGTCTTTGGAAATTCAGATTATTGATGAGAATGTAAACGGCACAAGCCTTAACAAGAAAAAACAAAAAATTTTAAGAAAAATGTAAGAGGCAAGATTGGGAGAAAAAGTGAATATGTACTGATATGTCTGTCTTTTATCAGGAAAGCAAATGGTACTGTCTGAAGTTAGAACACAATTTTTAAAAGTCATGATAACAAAACTCAAGCTTTAAAATAATCTTTCTTATTAGCTTGGGAGAGACTTTTAGGAACTAATTTCTTGTGGTAAAGAGGTTTTTGATTCAGCAATTCCTTTAGTTTCACTTCAGTCTCTCCTTCCCCAAGTTAAGTGTAAGTAAAATTAAATGTTTTTACTAAAAAGTGGCATGAACCAATTTTTCTGAAATTATATCCACATACATGCCTAGACATAAGTCTGGAATGATGCACACAAATTTTGAGTAATTAATTTGTTATTTTGGGTGGTGGGATTCCCTCCCTTTTACACTTCTATTGTAATGAACATGTGTCATTTTAATGCAATCAGCCATTATTCTAAGAAAGGAAAAAAAAAAGTATAAAAAACAAACTTTATGCCCACTTCATAACACTTCTTTCTTTCTCCCTTCAATTGCAGTTCATTGTCAACATCCTGTTAACTAACAGATGTTTGTTTTTGAATGCCAGATTTGCACTGATTTCTCTTGGCATTCCTCAAAGGAAGCGTGGTAGAGGAAGAGTTAAAAACACCTTTAACAATTACCCTTTATTGAGCTCTCACTATTCACACAGTGTCAAATCAAAACCTGTTCCATCCATTCACTGATTTAATTCTTACAACCCTGAGGCAAGTACCTCCCCTTCTAACAGATAAAGTAAAATAATTTGCCTAAAAGGTCACGGAGCTATTAAGGCAAGAAGACTCAGAAACCTAGGTTAGGCTACAAAGGTTAAGTCCTTGACCATTAATTTTAAAGTAAGATAGTTCAAGTTCAGATTCTGTTACTAGTAGTATCAACCTGGACAAGTGACAACTTGTCACCCTCATTTTTTCCACTTCAAAATGGGCAGATTACCATCCTCATTACATGGCTTTAAAAATAATAGATAATTATTATTATCTATAGATAAGAGAACTCTTGGTTCTTCCTTTGGGATATAGAAAGTACTCTGTTGGGTGATAGGTTACAAGTTCTTATAACACTAAGAACATCAAGAAGAATGTAGTATCACTAAATTTATAAATACCAGATAAATTGAAGTCATGTACCATTGAATTTTAGTGGAATGTGTTTTCTTATTTTGACTCTGTTCACAAAACATTCCAATATTCAAGTATTGTAACATACAAAAACAAATTAGAGTTTCAAAGTTATGAAACTTAGTAAAATATAACATAATATTAAATAAAATTTGGGCTCATCAGATATAGCAAATTCCTGAACATGAAGGTTATTACTTGGCTCTGTTTAAAATTGGTTCAGGCAAACTCACCCTCTTTGGGGACTAAGATATCATTTAAAACCATCTCCCTAAAAATAAAACCATGAAAAAAAATTGTAAGCTTTTTCCCTCTGAAATTTAGTTTAACTTTTGATTTACTTTTAAGTTTTAATTCAAATAAACTTTTTCAAGGCTTCTGTGACAACTGAAAAATAAATTTTTTATCTAACAAGGAAGCCACAGAAAATGGGTTAAAATACATATACAGCACTTTTCTTAATAAGTAACTTGATTGAAATGAAAGTATATCTGTATATTTACAATGATTAAAAAACATGGAGATCAATTTAAGTGACTTCTGAAAGAAGCAATCTCATTAATTTAAAAAGCCACTTTATAAACCACCATTTAAAATTCCAAACAGCTGATCTGCTCCATTATAATTTCAAATATAATAATTTTATTTCAATTCTAAGTTTCAGGATAATGACACTTCCAGGTCTTAGCAATAATACACTATATTACATTTAATAAATAACTGGGTTGAAAAAATAATGGAGCATCAATATGATCACCGAATAGTGACACCTAAGACCAGAAAGTGCTTTTGAAACCTGCAACAATGATCTGCACCAAAGGGCATACTTGAACATGCATACCTCAAGTCATCGCTTGGTTCTTTTTTTTCTGGAAGTTCCATGTGCTTGGAGTCTGTCGATTGATGCTCTTCAGCAACATTGGGCTCCTGGCTTATCATGGGAACCGCTGAAGGAAATGAGAGTTCCCCTTCATTGGAGACTCCAAACAGGTCTGGGTCATCTTGAATTACATCAATTAAGAGGACATCATCTTCATATGCTTTCAGAATATCTGGAAACCCCACTTTGACTTCTGAAAAGTTCTTAGTCATTTTTCTACCACTAACTTCAGAGGAACCTGCTTTGAATGGTTCTTGCTCATTGGAATATAAGGTGGGATTTTTCTCTATACATCCAGGATCACAAGAAAATGTATTATTTTCAACTGTGAGAGAACCAGCTGCCTTATTAGAAATGATATGGCCTGATGCAGAGATGTGGTTAGATGGTTTATTATTATTACCTTGCTTTAAAAAGCTCGGAGCAATAATACAGGAATTCTTACTGCAGAATGAGTCAGAACTAGCTTGCAGTGGAATTACACTATGTTGTATACTCAGAGATTGAGGTCCTGAAGTTACTGTGACAGCATTTTCTTTAGTCCTACTCTGCCTTACCTCTGCTCCAGATAAATTGTCAAGAAGTTCTAGGGGACTATATACTTCTCTCTCTGATGACTTGGCATTAATTTCTTTTCTTTTTTCTGTTTTGTTCTTAAGTAAAGGAATTTTAAAATTAGTCAGCCGTCCTGTGTTCAGTATCTTAACTAGGTCTGGAACAACCAATGCTTGCTTAGTAATGCATGCTTTTTGATGAATAGTTTTGCCTGTAGAGTTACTTGCTTCCTGGCCATCCTGGGAAGCCACCATCAAATTCAGTTTTGTTAAATTCCCTCTACCTTTTTTTTTACTTCCTGTTAAGTTGTGGGTCACATTAGTCAATGGAGTATCTTCAGTAGTATTAGAAACTACCTCTGATGCACTTCTACTTAGTTTCTCTGACTTCATTTTTTCGTCATCATTGACTATAGGTTCCTTTATAACCACTGAAGTAGGTTCCACTGTAGAGACTGAAGGTAAACAATTTAAATTAGAATCCAATTTTTCTATACTTGAAGATGCACTGTTTGTTTCTGTTACAGAACTTTGTAGCATTAATTTGGAGTCCGTTAAGTAAGTTTGATTCGTTTGATGTTTAAGAAAATCATCTTGCCTAGAACTTTGTGGCAAGGAAGCTTTTTTCCAACACTGGGCAGATATTCTAGCACATGAATAACAAGGCCAAGTTCTCTTGCCAGTCATTGGTATTGTTCTGCGACAGCTATATTTAGATTCTTCAGCTTCATTCTTCAAGCCTTCCCTAGAAGATCTCTTTTCAACAGGAAAGCAATCACTAAGTGACTTCACTAATGAGTTTTTCATTGACTTAAAATAATCTCCTGGTGGATCCATGCTGGTACATCCTAAAGGCTGTGAAACATTCTTTGTTTCTTCTTCTGAAAGTTGCTCAAGGGCTTTCTGAAACACAGCATTTACATAATGTTTAGGACTTGTTTTTTTCCCTGTTTCTGGAAGACTTAATAAGGGATCCATCGGTGACAGCATATTATTATTTACTTTTCTCAAAACTTTCAAAGAACTTTTTTCAGCTTCTAAAGTCTCTGTTTCTTTACCTTCAGCACCTGTTTGGTTTCCTTGTAACATCAGCTCAGATTTGTTACACATATTAGAAAACTTCATCTCAATAACCATTCCATTTCCTTTTTCAGACACCTTCATCTTTTTTCTGTATTTTCTCCCAATACTGCTCTCCTCTACTGAATGTTTATTGTTTTCACTTTGAAGGCAGGAAAACATGCCATTATTTTTACTTAGGTTTGAATCATCTTCTTCAAGCAATAACTGACTTACTTGCATTAAGTTTTCTTCAGTTTGTAAAAGCTGAGGAATATTGCTTGGATTAGTCTTATCTATAAGACTCCTAGGGTTTTCTTTCTTTGAGGAATTTTCTCGTACATGCAAACATCCTCCATCAGGTTTATATGCAAGATTATTTTCATCATTACAATCCTTGGAATGGGAGAGACAACCGCAATCATGTAATTTTAAAATGGAATTATTTTCTACTCCAGGTGACAAGCTGTTACAAGAATATTTCTGAGTATTCTTGTACAGTTCATCTTGGAATTCAACCTTACTATTTTGTGTAGCCTTATTTTCAGTCATTTTGAGAGGTGGGCTTTCTAAGCTTTTAACTTTTTTAATTCGAATTCTTCTTTTAATACCTTCTATCAACCTTTCCTTACCCAAAGACTGCAAGAAAGCCATACTTTGAAATTCACTGCATTCCACTGTTGGGAAAGATTCCGAACTGGTTAATGATTCCTTTCTTACCAGGTCAATCCCTGGCTGTGGATCATCACTTGAGGCTTCAGTAACTTTTCTTTTTTCCTTGGCTGATGAAAACAACAAAACATATCAGAGAAGATTTTATATTGAGGGAGGAAAAGCAATACAAATTTAAAAAAAAGTGAAGTCATCCATTTTTATTTCCCTGAATAGCTGTAGGAAAACATAGGTTTGTTTTTAAAATCAAAGACCTAATTTCTATTAAGGAACTACATACAAACCTGTATGAATTCTAAGGCAGCTGAATAGCCTCTAGTGTCATTATTCTGCACTAGCCAAAGTGGCTCACTAGTAGGAGTCCCTTTTATAGTGCTGTGCTGTGTTTAGTTGCTCAGCTGTATCCAACTCTTTGTGACCCTATGGACTGTAGCCCGCCAGGCTCCTCTGTCCATGGGGATTCTCCAGGCAAGAATATTGGAGTGGGTTGCCATGCCCTTCTCCAGTGGATCCTCCCAATCCAGGGATCAAACCCAGGTCTCCTGTATTGCAGGCGGATTCTTTACTGTCTGAGGCACCAGGGAAACCCAACAACACTGGAGTGGGTAGCCTATCCCTTCTCCAGGGGATCTTCCCCACCCAGAAATGGAACCCGGGTCTCGTGTATTGCAGGAGCATTCTTTACCAGGGGAGCTACCAGGGAAGTCCTCCTCTTATAGTACTTCTGACCAAGGCACCCTAACGGGACAAATATCTTTTAAGTGAATTCCTGTGTTTCCCCCTTCCTGGTCAACTGAGCGCATCAGTAAAGCCCATGCAGATTCAAGTGAAAAGCTACTGATAAAACACGGGTGAAGGAGAATGGATGCAAACGCTAGAAAGGGAGTGACCCCTAAGTGCTATCTTACGGCGTCCTCCCACTTGCAATGGGAGCTCCGCCTCCTTCGCTGCTTCTAAGCTGGCCCTGTCAGATGGGTCTGAAAAGGCCCCATGTCCCCCCCCCAGCCCCTCCACTCGCCGCCTCGCTAAGGCCTTCCCAGTCCCGGACGTCTCACCTGACTTGTCACTTTCCACCTCTTCTCTCCCAGACACCCGGGCCACCATCCTCCTCTTTTGCCTGCTCTCCTCGCGCCCCGCCGCCTCAGGGCCGCAGCCTCCTGACTCGCCTGGCCCTGGCCGCCGGCTTCTCTTCCTCAGTCCTCGAGAGTCGCCTTCACGCCCTGGGGCCGTAGTGGGGCCCGAGGGTGGAAGCCGCCGCATCCGCCCGGGGCTGCCACTCTCTCCGCCGAGGCAGGCCACGCCGGCTCGCAGGAGCCCACCAGCCGAGGGAAGGTTGCTCCTTCCGCCAAGTACCCGAGGCCCCGCCCCACGCCGCTCTCCGCCAAGACCCCGGACCGGAAGCGGAAGTGGGGCCCGTGCGGCCTAGCTGTGGAAAATGCGACGAGGCTCAACGGGCGGAAGGACCGCGAGGCTCTGTGGCTTTTGCCTCTGGAGTTCGCTGCGCGACCGTGAAGCCTCCACGTCTGCCGGGTCGAACCTTCCACTAGGCTGGACTCTCCTGGGACCATTCGGGGCCCCTCTCAAACCTGCCTCCTCTCATGCCTGGTTGCTTTGAAAGACCGAGTGGCTTCTAACTCTACCCCTGGCCTCTTGGGGTCCCGTTCCATCTGCCTTCCCGACGTTGTGTAGGCACCTCAGCCTCCGGTTATGCAAAACTGAACTTATTTTTCCTCACAAGAGTTGCTCCTTTTGTCCTGGTGGATGCGCCACTGTCTACCCAGCTGTCTGAGTAAGAAACCTGGAAGCTGTCAGATATATCCTTTCAACTTGATCCCTCACATCCGCATTCAGGACATCTGCTGGATTCGACTTTCTGTGTTTGTCAGCCACTCACCTTGGCTCCAGCTTGCAGACTCTGACTGACCTACTGCATCAGCCAACTGGATGTTACTTGTGCTTCCATCCTTGTGCTTTTTCAGTTGGCTTCCACCTGCCACCAGGCCATGCCCTTCCAGTGAAAGGGTATCTTGGCATTTCCCACCTTGGCCTTTCTTGAACCTCCTTTGCTCAGAGACTGAAACTAACAGAAAGTGTGTTATTTGCTGTTTCAGGTATGGCCCCTGAATATTTTATTTTTATCTCTAACTGCCACTGTGGGGGAGAAGGTGTGCTTCATTGGAAATCTATGCACAGGAGTTACCTTTCTGCATTCAGTTCAGTTCAGTCGCTCAGTCGTGTCCGACTCTTTGTGACCCCATGAATCGCAGCACCCAGGCCTCCCTGTCCATCACCAACTCCTGGAGTTTACTCAAACTCATGTCCATCGAGTTGGTGATGCCATCCAGCCATCTCATCCTCTGTCGTCCCCTTCTTCTCCTGCCCCCAGTCCCTCCCAGCGTCAGGGTCTTTTCCAATGTGTCAGCTGCTCGCATGAGGTGGCCAAAGTATTGGAGTTTCAGCTTCAACATCAGTCCTTCCAATGAACATCCAGGAGTTATCTCCTTTAGGATGGACTGGTTGGGTCTCTTTGCAATCCAAGGGACTCTCAAGAGTCTTTTCCAACACCACAGTTCAAAAACATCAATTCTTTGGCGCTCAGCTTTCTTCACAGTCCAACTCTCACATCCATACATGACCACTGGAAAAACCATAGCCTTGACTAGACGGACCTTTGTTGGCAAAGTAATGTCTCTGCTTTTTAATATGCTGTCTAGGTTGGTCATAACTTTCCTTCCAAGGAGTAAGCGTCTTTTAATTTCATGGCTGCAATCACCATCTGCAGTGATTTTGGAGCCCAGAAAAATAAAGTCAGCCACTGTTTCCACTGTTTCCCCATCTATTTGCCATGAAGTGATGGGACCAGATGCCATGATCTTAGTTTTCTGAATGTTGAGCTTTAAGCCAACTTTTTCACTCTCCTCTTTCACTTTCATCAAGAGGCTTTTTAGTTCTTCTTCACTTTCTGCCATAAGGGTGGTGTCATCTGCATATCTGAGGTTATTGATATTTCTCCCAGCAATTGTGATTCCAGCTTGTGCTTCTTCCAGCCCAGCATTTCTCATGATGTACTCTGCCTATAAGTTAAATAAGCAGGGTGACAGTATACAGGCTTGACGTACTCCTTTTCCTATTTGGAACCAGTCTGTTGTTCCATGTCCAGTTCTAACTGTTGCTTCCTGACCTGCATACAGGTTTCTCAAGAGGCAGGTCAGGTGTTCTGGTATTCCCATCTCTTCACAGTTTATTGTGATCCACACAGTCAAAGGCTTTGGCATAGTCAATAAAGCAGAAATAGATGTTTTTCTGGAACTCTCTTGCTTTTTTGATGATCCAGTGGATGTTGGCAATTTGATCTCTGGTTCCTCTGCCTTTTCTAAAACCAGCTTGAACATCTGGTAGTTCACGGTTCATGTGTTGCTGAAGCCTGGCTTGGAGAATTTTGAGCATTACTTTACGAGCGTGTGAGATGAGTGCAACTGTACAGTAGTTTGAGCATTCTTTGACTCATTGGAGAAAACCCTGATGCTGGGAGGGATTGGGGGTAGGAGGAGAAGGGGACGACAGAGGATGAGATGGTTGGATGGCATCACCGACTCGATGGACATGGGTTTGAGTAAACTCTGGGAGTTGGTGATGGACAGGAAGGCCTGGCGTGCTGCAATTCATGGGGTCGCAAAGAGTCGGACATGACTGAGTGACTGAACTGAACTGAGCATTCTTTAGGATTGCCTTTCTTTGGGATTGAGATGAAAACTGACCTTTCTGCATTACCTGATTCTAATTCTATGGAAGCTATTTTACAATTGTGTAAGTTGTAAATGAGTGGTAGCAGTGCAAAATGATGGTCTATGGAAATGCAAATTCTCTCCTACTGAAGTTCAATCATTTGCACTCCCTGTGAAGATTTGCACTCCCTGTGAAACATTTGCACTCCCTGTGAAAGAAGATGGTTCTGACTCCATTTATTTCAATATTTCTGGTCTATAAATGTGTCTATTCTTTGGTCTTGTCCTTTGAGCAGATGGTTATAAAATCTGCCTGATATGAGAAACAAAATCTTTAACATGTTCATTTTTATATCTATATGACAGTCATAATTTTGAAACTGAGCAGGACTCAGAGAGTTTGGGTCTTTTGAGCATGAACTGCCAATACTCCTTGCTTGGTGCCCTGCAGATAATTACTGTGCCTTCCTTCACAACTCATGATAGTAAATTGGCTTTCTTGTGCTGCAGGCAAAAGGACTCAAGTTCAGTTGGGTAAGAATTTTATCTTTTTTGCGTGGTGGAGGGTGGCTGTTTGTTAACACCACACATACCCTTGCCTGCATTTACCTCACGTTGGACTACTACTGAAGTTCCCTAGATTCCATATGATCCAGAATGCTGATAGAAATAGAGTAGGGCAGTTAACACAGATGATTTTAGAAATCCCACTAGGGGATTATGTATAGAGAATTAACTTTGGGAGACCATTGTACATTAATGATTGCTCAAGAAAGGAATTAGAACATCATGAAACAAAACAGGCCTGCTTAACAAGGTACCCATGCAATAAAAGCACAAGATATGCTCCGGGTCATTAGGTGAAAAAATGAGACCTGCATGCCTCATGCTGGTTGAGGTCAGCAAGATAATGGTCCTTAGGACAAGGATCTCTGCACGCCAAGGACAGGATATAGGGCAAAGATGACATTTCAAAGTAGAAGGTCCTCAAACTGAAATCTGAGATGATTTAACATAGTGTATGTTACCACTTCTCTGCTGATTTGAATAGCACTATGACATTCCTGGTTTAACCATATGGGGTCAATAACCTGCCATGAAGGAGGAGCTAATGATATAAGCCTACTCTCCACTCAAAAAATGAGGAGGAAGGTGGTCTTCTCCCCCCCACTTTTCCATTGTCTACAAAAATGAAGCCCTCTTAGTTCTCAGGGAAGAGCTACCTTGCCTGCCCTCTTATAACCTTCATAAGCATGCTATACTAATAAACCCACTTTTTACTTACCACTTTGTCCTTCAGTTAATTACTTCTGTGCTGAGACAAAAAGAACCTGAGCTTCATTAATTCCTGAGAAGAGTTGTTCAATACCTATGCTGGTTCAATATATACTGGTCCTGGAAATTCTTTTGCTTGTTTGGTTGATGAAGTACAAATTTCCCTTTAAGATTCAGTAAAGATCACCCCTCAAGGATGCTTCCCAGCTACCTTTCTCCTTATACTTGGAGGAGTGAGATGTTCCTGCCTGTCAACACATCATTTTCAACTGTTTACTTGTACAGTAAGTACCCTACATACAAACCTTCAAGTTGTGAACTTTCAAAGATAAGACTATGTGTTTGCCTGTCCATTTTCATAAGTTAGTTCACATGTCTGGTGTACATTGTCACGTGTGTGCATCCTCTACAGGTGGTTGTGCTTTTGTGTACTTTGCATACAGCACTATTTTTTGTGTTTGTACTTTATGTATTATTTGTGTGAAAAGTATTATAAACCTATATAGAGCTATGTACTAATCAGCTACATATTATGTAGCTGATTGTGTTAGTTGGGTACCTAGGCTAACTTTGTTGGACTTATAAACAAACTGGGCTTATGAATATGCTCTCAGAATGGAACTCATTTATATATAGGGGACTTACTGTATGTTCCCCTCAGGGCAGGTACTTTCTTTTTTTAATATTAATTTTTATTGGAGTATAGTTGATTTTCAATGTTGTGTTTATGCTGTACAACAAAGTGAATCAGCTATACATTGGCATGTATCCACTCTTGTTTAGATTCTTTTCCAGGTACCTTCTTTTAATGTTTGCATGTTTGCTTAATCTTTGTATTTTAAAAGAGGAGATTGATGATTTTGAACACAATGTATATTACGCATTAAAAAATAGTAGGTTTGGTTTAGAGTACTGTGGCAGTTTGGATGAGTGAAATATCCTTAAGAGCTTCTAGAAAATAGAATTTAGGTAAAGGAGGTGTAAAGGACCTAGAAAATCCCCCCCCCCCCCCCCGGCTTGGAAATATCCTCAGTAAAAGGAAAACCAAGTTGAAGAATAGCAGAATTTAGAAAAAGTAATTTTAGGGATTTCAGGCTACATGCTTATTCCAAGTTCACTTTGTGCACCAGTTTCCTTATCTGTGAAATGAAATAAGAGACCATCCTGAAGGAAACCAGAATCTGTCATCCCAAAATATGTCTCTTTGACATAAACATTTGTTTGAGCTGAAGGCAATTAAACAGCAGGAAATGCAGGAAA